ACACAGAAGATGAGATTTCACAGGGGGAGACCAGATTTCATGGTCTGTGATGTGTTTTTCACGGCCATGAATTTGGTAGGGCCCTAGTCCTAACAAGAGAAGAATGTTTCAGAACACAGGGCAATCAACAGTGCTGAATTGCCAATGTCTGGATTATTATGATTGTCTGTATTGTATCTTTATGATGGAAGTGAGATAAGCCATTGTTTTCTGTGTTGCTAATTCAGCCGTGAGTTCAAGAAATGGTTTTCAACGTCTAGCAAAAGGACTAGTGAATCTTTGACATTTTGTAAGGAACAGTTTCTTTGGAAAGATTTGCCTACTGTTTTCTCTCTCCTGTGTGATACTGTGTTCCCCATGTGAGTTGACATGAGGACTGGAGAATCCTTTCCAGAACTAATTATCCCTCAGAAAATGACTATATCTGCCAGTCCTCATGGTAGTGCTTTTCTTGATATTGTTAACTGTGGTACATTTTTCCCATACAGAGATGCTGCAAGTAGAGAATCTGCTGTCACATGCAGCTTGCGACAGGATATATACAGCAAGTAAGAAACGTTGTCATTTGACCAAGAATGTCCCAGACTTTTACCAATAATCCAGGAATTAGTCTACTTGTTTCTCTGGAGGATGTTAAATAGAAGTTACTAAACATTTTAAAATCAGTAGGTCCAGATAACTTGCTTCCAAGAAGTTCAAAAGACCTGGCTGATAAGCTCACTGAACCATTCATAATGGTTTTCAATAAGTCTTGGAACAATGAGGAAGTTCCAGAAGACTAAAGGAAAGCTAATGTTGTGCCAATTTTTAAGAAGGGTAAACGAGATGATCCAGGTAATTATAGGCTTGGTCGCCTGACATCAATCCCAGGCAAGATAATGGAGCAGCTGACATGGGACTTAATAAAAAAATGGGAGAGTAATGTAATTTATGCCAATCAACATGGTTTTATAGAAAATAGATCCCGTCAAACTAGCTTGATTTTTTTATGAGAATATACATTTGTTTGATGAAGGTAATAGTGTGAACCTCATAGACTTCTCGAAGATGTTTGACTTGGTACTGCGTTATATTTTTATGAAAAAAACAGAACCATATAAGATTAACATGGCACACATTAAATGGATTAAACTGGATAACTGATAGGTCTTAGAATGTAACTGTAAATGGGGAATTGTTATCAAGCAGGTGTGTTTCCTGTGGGGGTCTCAGAGGGATCAGTTCTTGGCCCTATGGTATTTAACTTTATCAATGACCTGGGGAAAAAAACATAAAATCGTCACTGATAAATTTTGCAAATGAAACAAAAATTGGAGGAGTGGTAAATAATGAAGAGTACAGGTCACTGATTCACAGTGATCTGGATCACTTGGAAAATGGCACAAACAAACAATGTGTGTTTTAATACAGCTAAAGTATACATCTGTGTATGGCACAGGTCCAACCACGGCTGGAATGCCGTGTCCAGTTCTGGTGCCCACAATTCAAGAAGGATGTAGATAAATTGGAGAGGGTTCAGAAAAGAGCCAAAAGAATCATTAAAGGCTTAGAAAACCTGCCTTATAGTGATAGACTCAAGGAACTCAGTCTATTTAGCTTAACAAAGAGAAGGTTAAGGGATGACTTGATTCAGTACCTACATGGGGAACAAATATTTAATAATGAGCTTTTCAATCTAGCAGAGAAAGGTACAACATGATCCAATGGCTGGAAGCTGAAGCTAGACAAATTCAGACTGAAAATAAGGTGTAAATTTTTAATTATGAGAGTAATTAACCATTGGAACAATTTACCAAGGGTCATGGTGGATTCTGTATCACTGACTATTTTAAACTCAAGATTGGATGTTTTTCTAAAAGATACGTTCTAGAAATTATTTTGGGAAAGTCTATGGCCTGTGTTATACCTAGATGTCCACAGAGGTCTCTTCTGGCCTGGGAATCCCTGAATGCAGTAAAACCAGAGGGACTAGCTTTTGGGAAACAATGGCAGTAGAGTTGATTAGCAAGGTAGGTTTTAAGATGGTGAAGAAAATCCCTGGTATTGTGTTCCAGGTGACTGGAAGTTCTTTTAATATCAAAGCACTGAGATACATTAGCATGATACATATCTGTGAGCTCTATTGATCAGGTCTGCACCTCATAGGTATTCATACAATACTGATTAAACTCCCCAAACCCTTTTCCAATATGCTCCAGGCGCAGTGCAAAGCCTGCAATCTCTCTTTTTTGATTGTTTCAAACCCCAATAAAGAATCTGAAGGTGTCATCCTCAGGAAGTTACAGAAATCCCTGGGAGTGAATGTGGCTCCTTTTCTAGAGAAGTTACATTAATTGAATACAGAGCTTTTGATAAAAGAAAGAAAAAGGACATATGGACAGATGGAACAATATGCTTCTCTCCAGCTGGGACGGAACTGACTTGTTGAAGGTTTGGATTGCAGGAAAGCTTTTATTTATGTGGATGGTTTTCTCCTTCAGGGTCTTGATGGAGAGGAGGTAGTGCTTTATGAGTAAAATACCTGATAGAATGGACTTGCGGCCTGGAAGCAATCATGGTAGCAGAGCTGGTGATGGAAAGGGAGTGTTTCTGTGAAGCTCCAAAATTAAATCAACCAACATTTGCTTCTCTAGGTCACAGCCAAGAAACCTCCCAAACCTGACACTTTAAATCAATCTGTGTCCTTGGTAGGTTCTGGAAATTGACCCAGATGCGTGGTCCACAATCTAACCCTACACGTCTGTGCAATAAGAACTTTACAGTGGCTGATACGTGAGACCAGATTGGGAAAAGGCAGGAATTCATACTATGGGAGTTGTAATCCATGGGAGTTATCGGATATCATTGGATGAAATATGAGCTGAATACAGTAGACTCCACTGCATAGTACCTTTCCTTCACGCTCTCTGGGCTGTGCCCTGCCCTGGCACTGGGGGCCCAGGCTCCGCATGTCGCCATGCCCCCACTACCCATACAAAGCCCTGGCTACAGGCAGGTTTGTGAGGCTGTAACCAGGGAAGGAAGCGCTGGGAAATACCAAGTTCAGGGATGGAACCTATTAATAGTTTCCAAAGCAGCTATTGTGAAAAATCAGTCCGTGCTGTAACCTTGCTGACAATGAGAAGGACAGTGGGTTCCATACTCTATCACTATCTGCCCACAAAGCCCTGAGAGGTAGCTACATGTGGAAAGAGGAAATGTTAAGGGTGCCTGTAAGCAGTTGAATTCACCATCATAGCACTTCTGGCATCAGGTCAAGGCCCTGCGGGGTCTTCACCTCTACTGCCCCCATCGGTCACCTCTTCGGCCCTGCAGTGGCCTGATTCTGTCTGTGAGTCAGCTCTCCGACTAAGTCCTTTCTAGTCCAGACCCTTTCCAGGATGACAGAAGTACAACTAAAGACCAAAAATGTCCCAACATCAGAGATCCTGCTTCCCTCACTTGGGCTACTCCTCATCCCAGCCTTTAGGCTCAGTCCTCAGCCTCATCCTGGGCTCAGTAGTCTTATGTTGGGGTTGTACACCTCTTCCTCAGGTCTTGAAGGTGGGCTCTAGCCCAGAGACCCCATATTAAACAGCCTCAACCTCAAAGCCCCTGGTGCTGCTTCCCTGTGGCCTGTGCTTAACACAGCCTCTCCGCTGGTTCCCAGGCCTCTGGCTTCTCCATAGGTCCTCCCAGTTCCTGTTTGCTCTGCCAGAATGCCAGCCCCCTCCAGGACTGCCTCTCTGTACCTTTCCCCTTTTCTAGGCCCCGCCACAGGGATTAATTCTGTCCCTATTGCCTTCTTCAGTCTGTTTTCCCCTGGCTCCGCCTAGGTCCTCCCTAACTGAGTTCTCCATCCTCTATCGAGTCTCTTCCTGACCCTTTCACAGCTGGGGTCACTAGGTATAATTAAGTTGCCAAATCAGGACCAGCTGACAGATAGCTGCTAGGTCACTGGCATGGTTGAGCCCAAGGGTATGCCTACACTGCAGTAGGGAGCATGCTTCCCAGCACGGGTGGGTAGACGTGGAAGCTCTGCTCAAACTAGCATACTAAAAATGGCAGTGTGGCCAGGGTGACGCAGGTGATGGTTTGGGCAACCTGCCCAAGTATGGATCCAGAAGGTCAGGTAGATTTAGACTTGGGGGCCTTGCCCGAGCTGCTGTCCATGCCGCTGTGGCCACATGCTGGCTCAAGCAGAGCTAGCTTCTCTGTCTATCCCCACTGGGAAGCTCATCCCAGCTGCAGTGTAGACCTAGCCCCAAAGGGCAGCCAACCTGTGACAGTCCCCCAACTTCCGTTATAACGTGTAAACGTCTGGATGATTGCAGATAACATTTTAGCAATTTTTTCTTCATATCCGGATGTGTACTGCTGCATCTTGGGAATCCTGGGAAATCTAGCAATCCTGATGGTAATGCTTCATGAGTTTCTAACTGGCCTATGTCTTTTCATACAGAGATGCTGCCGTGAGAGACTCCGCTCCTGAAGGCAGCTTGGGGCAGGATACTTTCAGCAGGTGAGAAGTGATGTCACTTCACTGAACTCCCTGTGTGTAACCCCAACACCATCAGAGCATGCATGTTGATCTCACTATCTCTTTGTTATTTATTTTCTAGGATGTGAAGGATTTGTTAAATTGAGTTATTCCTGTGCTTTTCAATGCTGTATTATTTGTGAAGCACTATCAGGATGCTTCTTAGAAAGAGCGTAACAAATATGATCAGGCCAAATCAGTGCTGGTTCAACCCCACTAAAATCAGTGCCACCACATCAGGAATAAATGAGTCCCATTAAAGCCTGTGTGGAATTATGAAGTTGCTGCAATGATATTTAAATGATGGTTGTTAGTGTGGACTAGCGGCTCCTCATGGTGATTCTGCTGTAAAAATAGGCCCCAAAAGTGCTTGTTGTAGACTTAAAATGGCAGGCACTAATGACCTGAATTTCAGATATGCTACAAATCCCATTTAAATCAGCAGGAGCTCTGCATCTCTGAAAATCAGAGCATTAGTATGTTAGCACCGAGACACAGAAAGCCAGAAAACTGCGGGAATCCAGAAATCATGAACCAATTTCATATTTCCAGAAATCCATTTAGGACCAGATTCTGATATCCCTCCTCATGTTAGGTGATACCTTACTCGACAAGTGGCCCCGTTGACTTAAAATGGGACTGTTTGCACAGTAAGGTACTATTCAGCATGACATAGGACATTGGAATCTAGCCCTAAATCATAGCTGAGAGAAAAAACAATGAAGGAACTTTCCTTTCAAATAACATTCTTGAATAATAATATCAGATAGCAAGGTTATCTGATCTAGTTTTCCAGACACTGGTTGGAAGGTATGTACCAGTCCTTCTTACCACACCATTTGCTAAACAAACCCCTTATTTTTCAGTTGACATTAGTAATACAGTAAATCAGTTCTCAATCTATACACTGAATCATCCTATGAAATGACTGATGCAATCATCTGCTTTCTCTGTTCTAATATTCACCATGCATTGCCACTAAATTAAAACTCTCAGTGCTGGTTTATAGGCTATGTTTTTATCTTTGTAAAGCCTTCCGGCCAGATTCATCAACCTATTTTCTGTGACAAAGCAGTAGTTTTCCCTCAATTTTTCCTTTTTTTCTGCCATAAAATAACCTGTCTTTGTCAAAAGGTCAAGAGAAAATAACTAGCAGTAGGTTATTATTTGATAAAATGATCAGTGAATATAAATATGCATTAGTACAAAAAAAACCCAGCCACTTTGTTGTTTTTAATGTGTGTATTGCAATTGAACTGCTACATATCTATACTTCATGTAACCCCAACATCAGAGCATGCATGTTGATCTCACTGTCTCATAGCATGCTACCTGCCTTATTACTTAGTAAGATAACATTTCTCAAACAAGGAAGAATCAAAAGCAGGAAAGCATACCTAGATGTGAACCTGAACAGTTCTATATCAAATACACTATGCCACAGACAGCCAGGAGTAAATCCAGGGCTGTTACACCAGGAATGCATGTAGCCCACCACTGTGTATAGTAAATTTATCTTAAACAGAATGCTTGTCATTACTGCTTACATAGAACATTATGACACACGTATGGAACCACCACCAGTGTTACGTGTCCTTTCATAAAATGTATGCCTGAATTAAAACAACTACGGCATGTACTATTTATACACTAGCACTGTTACATGGAAAAGGATTATTACTCAAATGCTGCCAATAGCCAAAGCACTGAAGTAGCTGGTGCATAAATGTTGAAATAAGCTTTTCATGTCAATGTTTTGTTGTGTTAGCATCATCACCTATTTATGTCACTCTGCTGGAGTTATACTCCTTTAGCCTCTGTGCAATCCTCCCCACTTACAGCATGAATTCTACTGCAAGATTACTGCACAGCTCTGGTAATTGTATTTCCGACTGGGTTTAACCCTAAAGTCCGCAGTAAGACCCTGCTCCTGCAATTGGTTTTGTGTGGGCAGACTCCCTGTACCCAGGCAAAGCTCCAGCCAATCTAATGAAGCTCCATTGTAGACCAACCCCTATCTTTGCCTGACTTCAGCAGGGCCCTCATGGGCACAGAAGTCAGTCCACATGGAACCCGCTGCAAGATCAGCACCTTAGTCTTTACTCCATCCTTATGCAGGCAAAACTCTCCCTGGGAATTAAGATTGGAGTAAAACCTAAGCAAGGACTTCAAGGTTTAGCCCACTGGTTACTCTCGAGGTAGAGCTTGTGTGATGTGTTTTCCTTACTATTCTATTTGTTTTGTTTCCGTTCTGTGGACTGGCTGCAATTATATATGTTAACCCTTTTATATAACATACTACACCCAGTATTCTAAAGATATGAACCTATACGAAAGTCAGAAATCCCCATATTGTCCAAGAGCCTGATCCAGAGCCCATTGATGTCAGTGGAAAAACTTAAATTGATCTCAGCTGGCACTAAGCACTCCAATTGTGGTAGTGACATAGCTGGGGGCCTGCAGGTTTAAGTTGCAGTCAAGTCATCAGTAGAGACTCTCGGATACTATGTTTATGGAGGACACGTAAACAGGGCCAGCGCAACCCATTAGGCACCGCGGTCGCCTAGGGCACTAACATTTGGGGGGCGGCGACTGCGGCGGCCGGATCTTCGGCCGGCCCGGTCATCGGCGGTATTTCGAGGGCGGGACCTTCCGCCGCCTCTGTCGGGGGCGGTATTTTGGGGGCGGGACCTTCCGCCACCTAGGGCGGCAAGAAAGCTGGCGGCGCTCCTGCACGTAAATATCTATATGGGGCAGCTCACTGAATGTGGTACATTTTGACATCTCCCAGCACCGTAGGCATCCCCTCCTCTCCAGCCAACATCGCCCTCTGCTGGGCTACACTTTCTCACGCCCCAGCATTCCTCTGTGGGAAGAGAGGTTGTGGCCACATTACAGCTTTCCCCAGTACACCCAGGCATGAGGCTGGACCATTAGCTTTAACATTATGCTAAAAATTGCATGAGAATTAAATGCCTGAGCACAAGAATGCCGTAATGGTTCTTTCATCCCTCCAAGTAAGCCCATTTGAACCCTGTATACACCATTTCCCTCCAAGTAAGCCCATTTGAACCCTGTATACACCATGTATGTGTATGAGAGTTCTAGAATGCATGCAAACTCTTCACTTTCTCATTGTGGGGATTAGCTACTCTAGCGAAATCTCAGCCTGGCACTGTCAGAATGGAATGCTAGTCTTGCCATTATTTTGCTTGCAGGGAGCCTTTAACTTTACATGTTTCGGATCTTGAGGACCAAACTGCTACCTTGTCTTTCACACCCACTGGTGAGTTTTCACTGGCTGCACTAAAGAATGCATGTTTCAAGCAGGCATGGCTTGGCACAGAGCAGAATTGTATAGAGACAGGAAACAAGTGTATTTTCATAGGTAAGTTTTACAAGTGTCTCTTAGCAGGAACCTTTTACAAAATCTCTAAAGCACTTAGCACAGTGCTGCATCATATGCGTTTTATTGTTCATAGCTCAGCTCGAGAGTGACATCAGCACATGTACTAAGAATTGAAAAGATGAGGAGGGCTTTCCAGTTAGCTATTTTCCCAGTTCTAGAGCGATTTCAGCAAATTACCATGTTTATTATGGTTTTCCCCGTGAATATCTTCCACTTGACAAAATAAATTTCCATAACAGGTATTTGTTAACAGTAGTGGTCTTACCTAGTTACAAAGCAACATTTTCAAACTTGGGTGCCTACATTTAGGCTTCTAATTCCATATTTGGGTAACTAAATAAGTGACCTGATTTTCAGAGGTGCTGAGTAATGGCACCTCCCATTGACTTCATTTGGAGTAAGGGATACTCAGCACCTCTTACAATCAGGTCATTTTTATTTAGATGCCTCCATATAAATTTTGGGCACCCAACTTTGAAAATATTGTCCTAAGCCTTCTCCTAAGTAACTAGACAGAAGGTAGAGCAAGAACTGGGTGGGTGAGCAACCTTGAAACTCCGGTCTGAATTGTTGAAAATCAGGTGCTTCTCCAAGGGTGCCAGACACAAGTCAGCAGAAATACACTTGGCCATACTCCTCTAGGGAAAAGGTACAAGCTATCTTCCAGTTGACAACCATTGCATCAATACTGCACGTGACTTGCAAAGAAGTTATACTCTGTTCTCTTAGATAGAGGGTAGGTGCTGCTGTGTTGGCTGCTGCTGGGAAATGGGAAGGATCAAAGAATGCAATGAAGAGAACAGGGTTATGAAATGATTGCATTGCAGTACTCACATTAAGGGTAGAATATGAGCATTTATTCAAATTGCACTGTGTCCATTTTCCTAGCAAGTCCATCCATCTTCACTGCCGCTCCTCGTTATGCCTCTTCCGCAAAGAAGTTCTCCCAGGAGGAGAGATACAAAGATAGGTCTCCAGTGCACTCACTGTTAACTGCTCCGCTAGATGACCTGAAGGCTGTCCCTAGTACCTCAGCAGACCATAGACCATCTTTGAGGAAGAGTAGCTCACCAGAAGCTACAACTGCCCGGAAAAGTAAGTATGGCCCCTTCTTCCAGTCAAAAGGACTCGGCTGGCTTTTTTCTCTCCCCTAATCACTACTGTAGTGAATTACAAACAATAGGCTAAATTTATCCCAACTGTAATTCTATAGAGACCAGTGGAGTTACACCACCATACACAGATGTGATGTTATGTGGTCCATGAGGGTAACGTTTTTAAATGTTCAGAAATATATTTATTTTCACGTTTCCTTTTTAATATATAATTATTTAAATCAGGGGTGGGCAAACTTTTTGGCCCGAGAGCCACATCTGGGAATAAAAATTGTATGACGGGCCACGTATGCTCAGAAAATTGGGGTTGGGGTGCGGGAGGGGATGAGGGCTCTGGCTGTGGGTGCGGCCAGAAATGAGGCGTTCAGGGTGCAAAAGGGGGCTCCGGGCTGAGGCATGGGGTGCAGGCTCTGGGGTGGGGAGGAGGGGTTTGGGGTGCACAAGGGTGCTCCGGGCTGGGATCAAGGGGTTTGGAGGGTGGGAGGGAGATCAGGGCTGGGGTAGGGGGTTGAGGCATGGGGAGAGGCTCAGGGGTGTAGGCTCCGGGCGGCGCTTACTGCAAGCGGCTCCTGGAAGCAGCGGCATGTCCCTTCTCCGGCTCCTACGCAGGGGCGCGGACAGGCAGCTCTGCACACTGCTCTGTCTGCAGGTACCACCCCTGCAGCTCCCATTGGAGCGCTGGAGGGGGCCATTGGAGCGAGTAGGAACCGGAGGGGGACCATGCCGCAGCTTCCGGGAGCCACATGAAACAGCCCCCAACCCTGCTCTCCGGCTAGAGCACCAGAGGAGGGCAAGCCCCAGACCCTGCCCCCCAATTTAAATTCTCCCCTTTCACTCAATAAAAGTAGTGGTGACTCTCAAAATTACATTATTGGCCTTTTCTTTTTACACAGATGTCTCCTTCACTCCCAGTTCTTGTAAGTGTAATTCCATGATGCACATTTGTTCCAATGAATTTGATGTTCCATTTTAAAGCTGTGTTCTAGAGTTCGCAAACCTGCTTGCCCTACTGAAATCCATCTCCGTTATTACTGATTGTCTCACTTCACACTGCATGCATTTAAAAGACAAAATACTTCCACATTTAGGAAGTGCCGCATTGTGACAATCCATATTAAGACAAATATTTCTCCTCCTGTATTGTATAAACTCTGATGTGTATCACAGCAGCTGTTTAACAGTGACTATGATTAACACTATATACCAGTTTAGGATGGAAAGTGAAGAAAAATACTATATCCCATTAAAGCTGCACGAGAAGTTACCAGAAAATTAACAAAACTGAAAGAAAACAATGAGGGTGAGATTTTCAAAAGCATTCTGTGTTGGCCTAACCATTCAAGTCAATGCCCATTGATTTCAATGGCAGCAGAGTTAGACCAACATTGAGTGCTTGTAAAAATGCCACTCTGGCTATATATACATACTGTATAAACTGTAAAGTGCTTCTAAAACTAAACTAGTACTTGACAATGCAGAACATAGAGAAAGGGAGATAAATGTATTTCAAAATCAACTACAGCATTAAAAATTCTGGAAGGCTCGACCTTCCCTTATTAAATCAGAATATACAATTTACGAAGGGCTAGAGTGTGAAGTCATTATCCAATCAAAACTCCATACAAGAGATTTGCTGCCACATTCCTGGGAAGAAAGGAGTCACTGATCACTTGAAGAGGGGGAAAAAAGTACCGAAAAGGTAATTCAAACAAACAGGTGCCTTTTCTCCATCAGGCAGGGAACAGTTTGGGCAAATTCCTGTTGTTGCAGGTAGACAGTCTTAGTGCTTCCTCAGTAGGAGATAAGCAAACAGCTCTTCCTTGCAGGGAGGTGGGAAAAGAAGGGGTCTCCTTTGGTAAGTGTGTTGTCGTTGGGCTATTTGGGGTTTTTTGAAAGCAGCCCTGGTTCTCCCTTTTGGCAAGGCGATAAAAGCAAATGATTCTTCTTTCATCAGGGGAGAACACACACACACAAAAGTTGACTCCTTGGTTGCAGGGCAACCAGTTCCAAGTCATAGTCAGAGTTTAAGGCCAGTTCATCTAATCTGACCTCAGGCCACCAACACCACCCAGCCACCCTCACCTTCCTCTTCACTGCAAGTCCTTTCTATTCTTCCTAGTCCCTGGAGAAAGCGCAGCATCTTCCAACCAGCCCAAAACATCTCATCTTTATCATCATGAGTTGTCATCAAGGCAAAACCCAAAGGGACATAGCCTCCTTACAGATCAAGCACCACCAGGACTGATGTCTAGCTAGGTCCTTTATGGCTACATCTTAATGGCCAGAACTGGAGGATTCTTTTCTCTAGGTCTGGAAGCTGTGAGACAAAGCAGGCTCTTTTCTCCTACACGGTGAAAGGATTTAATCCCTCTTCTGTCTGGCAATAAGGATACATTCATTCCTTCACAATCCCATTGTAGTCAGTGGGAATTTTGCCTAACTAAGGACTGAGCAAAAAGGCTTTCAGGATTTGGCCAAACGAATGGCTTGTAGAACAGATCTAAATCCTCCTGCCCAGAAATGACCCTAACTAGTTTGGAAAAGCATAGGTAGTTCACCCACGGAGCCCCCTACTAGTTAAACCAAAAACTTGTCAGTTGCCTTATCTAATTAAATAAAATGTGCAGTTACCTAATCTCAGTATTTGCGATGGTCAGGGTATTTGCTATGGTAAGAATTGAGAAACGCCAAGGACTAGTGGAAACACTGATGTAACCACATCTCTCATATATATATAAAATCTTAGGTAAAAGTAACAAACTTTTCCATCCCACCACTCTACTGGTAGAAGGGTGTGTATTTTAACACCAGTGTACCAGCCACTTGCCAGTGGCTCAGGTTGCCTGGAGTACTTTATTAATCTAGTATCAAAAAGTCCCTAAAAAAGAGCCATCAGTGATAAATAGATCAAGACTAATCTTTGGAGTGATACCCAGCTACATGCTAGTTATTACATTTTCTTCTTACTCTGTTTGTAATTCCCTTTAGGAGCCTGACAATAGCATTTCCCACTCAGTTGTTTTTATCTTTTACAGCTGGAAAATCTCTGGCTTTTTCCTCTCTGTTTTCTAAGGAGCCCTAGCAAAAATAGCTGTGCTGGGCTCGCATCCTTGCGCTGAGTGCTCACGTTGCTGTGCGCCTGCTGGCGGGCTGCCTGGCTCTGCAGCAACGAAACACACACTAGTGGGCTGACCCTGCAAGACTTCGCATGCTTATTGTTGGTTTACAAACTAGAAGGGTGCACGTAAGCAGAATGAAGTGCACATGACACTTCCACGCTCACAGCCGGGGACAGTCGGGCAAATGCAAGTCCATTTATCTACAGAACAGCACACGCTTCCGCCACCAATGTGCCTTAACCCTGATGGGGCTTCTCAGCTCAGGAAGTAATTAGTTGCAAGTGTAATGATGAATTTTGTGGGGTGAACATCTCTGCAGTTGCAATTGCACATAACCCACCAACTTATTTCACACAGACCATTAGACAGCCAGATGACATTGATGACTTTCAGTCACTGCCAGCCCTGGCTCAGTTCAAACCTGTAACCTAGAGATGAAAAGTTCCACATTCCATGCTTTTTCTATGTAGCTAGGTGCCTGTGTCTCTGCCCCGCCTCAATCTACCTGTCCTTTTCCCACCTTATTTTAGAATCAGCAGCAGATATGAATGGTGCAGCTCCTGACCAGAAGTGGTTTACCCCTGGTGCCAGCTGCAGTGTGAAACTGACTATGATTGTGCAATTGTACAGCATTGATTTGCATGTGCCATTATACCTGCTAAATTGGGCTAGTCCACAGTCCACCTGCTGATCAAACTGAATCCCAGACAGGCCAGCTGCTAATTTGTTTATTGCTATTACATCCTTACATTTCAACTCTATTTCTGAACATCAGTATTCAGTCAATCAGAGGCAGTGTGGCCTAGTAGATGGAGCACTGTACAGGGACTGAGAAGACCTGGCTTCTGTCCCCATATCTGCTACTGGCTTCTTAGATGACCTTGGGCAAGTCACTTCACTTGTGTCTCCGTTTCCTCATCTATAAAATAGGGATAATGATACTGACCTCTTGTGTAAAGAGCTCTGAGATCTACTAATGAAAAATGCTATGCACAAGTATTATTATTATTAACAAAGTACTTTTTCCTCCTTCCCCCTCCATGCAACCACATAGCATTTTAAAATTTGGCTTGGTTGAAATAGAAATATGATTAATTACAAAAACTGATGTTTATCATCTCATTTATTTTCTCTTTGACATTCAAAGTAGTCCTATTTGTTTGAAATCTTTATTTTAGAACTAATTTTCACTCTGTAATTTGAAGGTTCCTATATAAAAGACAAGTAGTTAGATAATGTATTTTTGTACCTCTAATAGTATAGTGACTAATCATTTTCTTAATAGCTTCTCAGCCTGTGGAAACCAGTGGGACCACATGCAGGCAGCTACAGAACAAGATGGAAAACCTACAAAACCTGGTGGAAACGTTACAGATGAAAAACCAAGGTACTGGAATTTATTCTGTTGAAATCACTAGTATTTCTTTTAAAATGTACTGGATCTCCACTGTCTCTTTGTGGTACATACCATAGCTCTGGCCAGAGTTGTCCATTCCTGTCAGTTTAGATGTGTCCAATTTACTAATTGCCACTTCCACATTATCCAGCTCCTAGGAGAATAAACAGATTAACTCCACAATGTACTGTACTCAGCCCCTTAACTCTAATGAGCTCTGAGATCCTAAATCTTTCAAACATGGCAGCTGTTCAGGGGTGCAGTCATGTACAGCTGTGACCAATTAAATGGGGTTTTTAAAGAGCTGTTGACACTCCATGGAAATTGAAAGCTATTCTGTTTATAGAAGTCTTCATTTAAAAAGAAAATCAGAGTTTACCAACAGTGACCACACAACCATAGCTGATCCTCCTTATTCTAAAAACAGGGAAATACTGCAGTCTCAGCCAGCCCACTAATCACGGGGGGAGGGATAGCTCAGTGGTTTGAGCATTGGCCTGCTAAACCCAGGGTTGTGAGTTCAATCCTTGAGGGGGCCACTTAGGGATCTGGGGCAAAATCAGTACTTGGTCCTGCTAGTGAAGGCAGGGGGCTGGACTCGATGACCTTTCAAGGTCCCTTCCAGTTCTAGGAGATGGGATATCTCCATTTAAAAAAAAAAAAATTAGAGCCTGATTCTGCTTCCACTCCCACTGAAACCAGCTAAACTCCTATCAACTTCAGTGACTGCAGCCTACTGGGTGCTGGAATTCCTTTTGTCATCAGCTTTTTTTTCCTTACTCCACTTTCTGATTATCTTCCCTTTCCCCTTCCCTTCTGTGCTTATGGACCTGGAAAATGAATGCTTCCACACATCATATCATTCTTATGTGAAAGTCACAAATGATGGGAATTTGTTTGATAAAACTCTAACAAAATTATTTATATAAAATAAAAACCAAGCAGGGAAAAGTTTGGGCCAGCTCATCTAAATGGTCATATCTCCATTGACTTCAAAGGCCCTTCAGTATTTGCTCTCATTTAACTTCCACTTTATACCCCAGCACGTTTTCTGTAACAGTAATGTATTATACAGCAGCTGTATAAAAGATACAGAACAAAAATAACCCCTCATATGCACATTAGAACAAACTCCACCTTACAAACATTGGCCCAAAGTCATTTAACATTCAATCAATCAATTTCCATACAACCCATACAACTAACTTTGAAATCAACAGAGTTGTGCCCATTTATTTTCTTACAGTAATTAATTCAGGCCATTGGGTTCAAATGAAACAGCTGTATAGTCAAGCTGAGGTAATATCCATTTATTATTAGGCCTATTTTGTGTACTAAAACATCAGCCTACTAAAGTGGAAGCCACATTTGTTTTCTTAAGGGCAGAGCAAGCACAGAGCTTTGCCTGTGTAATGTGCTGGCTGGCTGTATAAACTGCAGCTGTCAAAACCTGACGCTTGAGTTGTTTTCTGCTCAGCATGATCTAGCAATACACAGCATTCAAGTGATCTTTTCTCAATGCTATTTTCAGCAATGTCTTCAATGATCCGCTGTCAGGAAAAGAAGATTGAGAAAGTGAAGGAAAAGGAGAAAAAGCTAACAAAATAAAGAAACTCTGTATGGTTGTGATCATTCCAATGTATGTAGATTCGGCCCCATTAAATGTGATGCTTAAAATATATGATACTGTTAAAGATGCATAATAAAGGTTCTCATAGTTTTGTAATCTGTGTCTTGGACTAGAATATGAGCTGCCGTCTGCAGTTCTAAAAGGGCAGGAAGTAGAGAAGTAAACACAAGACATGGAGATAAAGGTATTGTATCTTTTATTGGCATACATTGGGAATAGCCACATACTCCAAGGGAGACAGTCAAGAGAGTTATGCTGGTCATCCCAAACAAGGCCTAACAGAGCCCACACACCTATCCTGGATCTGCCACCTGTTCAGTGACTCTTTAAAAATGGTTAGTCTTTAAATATTTTAGTGAGACTCCTTTTGTTAGCCGTCCACCTCTGAAAACAACCTGGAGTAACTTCTATATGTAATGTTATTTGAAGAAGTTCTGCTAGCTCATGATATTCCATATTTCAGAGCTACAGACAAATAGTGCTGCCCACCTCATAGGCAAACTGGGAACTTCCCCTTTTCACTTGTATAAACTAGCCATTTTAGTTCCCCACCTCCACCCACTCTTGGACCCTACACCTGGCACTGGGGCAGGACTAAATGCATCTCATTCCAGTGTGACTTTTGGGGGCTGGAGTGGAATGGCGTGGGGTAGGGAGGAGGTCCTTTCTCAGTAGAAAAAAAAAAGTTCTATAGCTGGTAGGATTTATTTTTAATACAGTAGGTATTTGAAGACACCATGCACTGGGATATTAGCAGTAGTCCCAATGGAGATGGATTAAGGAGCAGAGTGCAGGTAAAGTAGCCGGAGGTGCATGATAAATGTAATTTAGCATATGGAAACCACCACCATCTATATGCATTTCCCAGACTAGAGAGTGTATCTACAATGTGCACCATTCAGCCAATTCGCTGCAAAGCAAAAAAGGATCACCTGTTGCTCTTCCCCCAAAGACTCCTTTCCTTCTGTCACTTCCTCCAAGAGGATCTCTCATTCAGCGTTCCCATATCTTCCACTTCAATCACTGGGTCTTCCTACAACTCTGAATATAAATGGGAGATGTTTAGACCCAACCTTGTAAGACAATCTCTCGCACTTCAGAGAAAGATGAAGGGGGAAAAACCATAATTCACATAAGCAATTGCATAGTGCTGCATAGAAGGGGGAAATATCCTTCCTGATTCTTGGGGAGAACTGCTTCCACATTGAAGCATGTGACCGGATTGGCTGTATCTGATATATAAAGTAGGTAGGCAGCATGAGATTTATTCTAATTAAAGTTATATTTTTGGGTCTAGAGACACTGGCAGTGTTTCTTTAATCATAAACAGAGGGTTGGATTAGATTGTCATGAAACACCTCAGAGCAAGGTACAGCACTCCGCCCTAGAACCGTCCTGTTCCTCCTTCTGTCATGCACCTTCCAGCCTAGAGCAATAATTAACATCCCTTTGGAGCACTGCCTATCCCACATCCTCCAATAATACACACTATAGTAGTTGCATGGAACATTATCCCTCACCTTCCAAAATGGCACATCAGCGGTACTTGTACCTGCCCCAGAGATTAAAAGGCAAGATAGGATGTGGACTTTGATCTCTCACACAGTAGCATATCCATTACCTCTAGCCAGACCCAAAGTGTACTGTACCTCATTCCAATGGCAATAAACTTCCTTAGAGCAAGTGTAATACAACTGCTGACACACCCAATCACAAGAAGAGAGAATCTTATAGAAGTAGAAATTAAAAATCAAGAATATTGTAACCCACAAATAACTTTGATAAGGAACATTTTAAGACAGTTGCCTGGGGGTGGGGTGGGGGTGGAAGGGGAGAATGTTCATATGCCTGAGGACAAGATCACAGAAAGGAATGGCCTAGGGAGGAAAAAACGGAGTTTTAGATTCAGAGTAGAGAGTATAAAAGGCAGGGCCCCCAGTTTCGTACATCTGTGAAAGAAATAGAAATACCTAAAAATATGAGTGCCCATTTGCAAGTGGCATCTCAGAAAGTTGCCATGCGCTTAAAATATTTTCCATAGCAATGACTGCCAATGTGATTTCACGGGTGGGGTTTTCCTTACAGATGGAATGATGCTTACAGACTTGACATATTTTGCACAGATTAATTTGAGGGTGTTCTGGGTTTGGATGTGGAGTGCAAACAGGGACTGTGTAGTCTTCCCCATAGCTTAGTTCTGATATCAGAATACCCATATTTTGTCTTACACCGACTTTGGTTTCTGCATATGCATGTTGGTCCTCCCTTAAGAGCTATAAAAGGAGAACATGAGATGCCAAAAACTTGATTTGAAACTACCATTGGCTTCATTTCTGAGTATCAGGCCATCGATTCAGATGCATAAACAGACTAACCTGCCTATCTTTAGGCTCCCATTTTTTTAAAGGATGAACTATAATCTTTAAATATTGCTTCCAACTCCCACCCCCAGAATGTTGCTTAATTAATTCACTGAAACACAATATTGCATTAATATCCGTATCTAAGCAAGGCGTGTATGAAAAACTACCACCGACCTAACTGCGCAATAAGCCCAGATGAATGTGAGACACATCTGTCATACTCAGCGATTTATTTTTAATCTAACTTTTGACAGTTGAGGATTTTTGCATGGGTGAATGGGCAGATGACAGAACAGGTAAACTGATGCTAATTTAATCTTAAAAGAATAAACAGAATGCGGCAGAGGAGGCAGTTAGAAAGCAGTGACACCACTAGCCCGGCTAATGTGTGTAGGCCCAGTAGAAGGTGACAAGACCACAAGGGCAGGGCAATCATAAAAGAGGAAGAAAGAGGCACTTGAAACTTTAAGGCAACCTCTGTACAAAGAAGCCCGGAGGTAACATTTTCAAGAGTGCCTATGATTTAGGAGTCTACAGCTCATCTTCAGTGACTTAGTAGAGGCTAAGGCTAGAATCTATGGCAGCATAGATGCAGTATACACCAACAGAAGGAGTTTTTCTGCTAGTGTAGTACCACCACCTCCCCGCCCGCTTCTGTCAGCACAGCTGTGTCTATAATGGGGGTTCTGTTGGCCTAGCTATGGGGCTGGGCAGTGTTCGGGGGTGGTGGTATTTTTTTACACCCCTGACCATCATAGCTATGCCAGTATAAGTTAAGTGTAGACCATGCCTAAGTTTCATTATTTTCAATAAAACAGACTCTCAAGTCCCTTTGGAAAGTGGGATAGAGGCTTGGTCTACCCTTAAGTTACATTGGCATAGTTATATCGGTTAGGGATGTGAAGAAAAAAAACACACTACACCCCTCTGACCGACCTAACCCCCAGCATGTGGACAGAAGAACACTTCCATCGACGTAGCGAACATCACTCGGGGAGGTGGGGTTTCTACACCTACAGAAAAACCCCTTGTGCAGTGTAGTTGCAGCCTACACCACAGGACTACGCCAGTAGAGTGTCCATAACTAGTATTACCATACCACTACCCTTAGATTCTTCTGCAAATGTTACCATGGGCCGGCCCAGAAGGTTACGTAGGGGGAGGAAGTAGAAGAGGAATAAACCTAGTTACCCACTCGAGCATGATGAACCCATCACTTTTTTAAAAGCTGTATCATTTGGAGGAGAAGCCCTGTAAAACATCTAATTTACTTTAAAATTTGTTGGTTTTAAGCTAGCATCATACAAGACTCAGGACAGACCAATCATCCAAACTTGCTCAGCCCAGTCTCTATTTCATTTGCTGGGGTTTGCGGGTGATGAGATTACTGTTCCTTTATACTTTTCAAAGATTGGTCTTTCATCATCGTCCACAGTAACGTCACACACTAAATCTCATTGTTTCAGTTCCTCATTAGTTGAAGCTTGTGACTGGCTAATATCTTGCATCAGTTTCACAGGCCTTGCTCATAATCTAGATACAACCCACCCCACTAAGCAACCCTGACATTGTGGTAACCTTAAGTGATATCATAACAGTGAGTTGGGTGTAACTTTAGTCTATGTTCTTCTTTTATATTTCATTTAATTCTCAAGAATTTTAACTAGAAAAGGTTTTAGACAAGGCAATGCCATTTAAGATTTTAACGCTCCCATTCCAAAGAGCTGGAATGACCTATGCCAAGCCTTTATGCAAGGGTGGAAGAAAACACATTCAAAGGGAAATCCATTTATGAAAATTATCTGCAGAACAAATACAGAGCAGGAAGTGGCAGTGCAAGCCTCTATGCACTACTCTACCAACCTGCCCCTCGGCTGGCGGCGAAGGAAGCCAAGTCTGGACTGGGAGATTGCCAAAAAGGGGTGCCCACTACAGTGTTGGTGGGCCAGCAACCAGATTCATGAACAAGGCTAAATTAATTTCACATAGGCCCCCCTCAAAAACCAGTCAGATAGTAACACCTTCCAGACATTAACAACCTGGGCAGGATCTGAACCAGGAACCTAGAGGTCAAAGGCCCTCTAGCCCAAATTTGCAGAGCCCTCAAGTAGGATAGGTTTAGATGGCTTTGAAGAAAGTTCTGAGCAGTTCGGTGTTGGGCCTTGTGCCTTCATACCAAAGTTGCAGCACATTAGCTATAGTGGTATAGTTAAAGTGGTGCAACCTCCACAGCATGGATGCACTTACACGGGTATAAAGCTTATCCTTCTTCCTTTATGGAAGCTAACCAGTACAAGGGACTATTATACTGATATAACTGCACTAGGGTTTAAACTCTTATTACCATATCACTAAAAGAATCACATCCCTAACCAATAAAGGGACACACATTGTGCATCTACCAGGCTTTAGGATAATGAAATCTAATTCACTTCACCATACCATTTCATCATACCACTGATGTTACTTTGTTTACCTAGTGTTGCGCTGTTAAAGAGTAATATCCATTTAGGATTTCTCTTCCTGCTCCACTGCAGGTCTTTGATCTCACAGCTGTAGGATACAGCCCTCATGATTACATCACATATCACTGCAGAATTCTTGCTTTATCATTAACAATGCATG